TTGCAGAACCTAAAATTGGAAATATCAAGCTTTCCTGCCAGCTCTCCAACTGCATGATAGCGAGGCAGGCGCTTGAAATTTCTCTCATAATGATATATATGCAGTCATCATTGTCGCGGCTTACTCATTGCGGCCTAAAGTCGATATCGAGTGTGCATCGCCAACGGAGAAACGCAGCATGGCTGTGCGAAAGGGCGAGGATATCTTTAATATTAGCCACTATAACACAAGGCTGGACTTGATCATGTACTCAATACTTCTATTCTTGTGGGCTCATCGACAAAGGCGAACCTCTCACACCCTTTACCATCTAGTATCACAAGCGCTCATATAGACTGTCTTCGACCCTGTCTGATAGGGACTTGTCTTGTAATGCAATGCATCACATACTCGATCTAAAACCTGGGTTGCGTCGCGCTAGCTGCCTCAAAATAGCATTCTCAACCATAGCCTCGTACAAAGCAACGAGTCTTAATAATCCAAACTATTTTACATGAAATTTCGCAAAGATTGATTGATTGATAGATATCGATGACTCAGCGTCATGTGACTTCGCGAAGGGCAGCGCGCGCTCAATGCGTGTCAGGCGTCGATGCGGAGCAGATAAGCCGGACATGTTCAGTTGCCCGTGCAGGCTGTGAGGTGATGTCAATCTAGAGACGTCTTTGGATGAAAACATGTCCCAGTCGCGCAGTATTACAGATTTCTTCAAGCGGCCAGCTTTTTCGCTGACAAAGCAAGACATTCACTCTGATAGCAAACCAAGCGAAGCTCTTACTGCGGCACCACAGTCTTCACCCCTCACCGAGCCCTCATCGTCATTCCTAGCAAACAGTGACCCTCCAAAAACACCAGATGGACCAGCCTCGCAGCTGAAAGAGTCTTTGCAATCATCGGTACAGGACACCTCTCCAAAGCCGATACCTCACCAGAGTTTCCAAAGCAGTAACGGGACCGTTGTCGGCGACCCTTCTTCAGGACTAAGTTTCAATTCATCTCAGCGAATCATCAAGAACGGGAGGGAAGTTGTCATTAGCTCCGATGGAGAGGATACAGACTCGATAGTTTCTCTCGAGCAACTAGAAGATCCTCTGTTGATGTTCATGAAACCCAACCCAACGGCCGCAAGCGAAACGAGAGAAGCCGAGAACAGTGTTGGCGACTCAGAGATGGCGTTGCGTTCGCAAAGGCTCAAAGATACGAATAAGGCTTCGAATGCCAAGTCCTCGAAAGACTCGGTTCCGCAATACAAATTCTCACTCGATGATCTTGTGACTCAAGCAGTAGATGATAACGAAACCGAGGCAACCATTGCAAGATTGAAAGCTGTGCGCGCGGATGAGAGTTCTTCGAAACCCGACACTCCTCCTAGTAGGCAGTTAAATGAAGGAATGTTGACATCAGCACTCGGTGATCAGGATGATGAGCTAGGATTACAACGTCTACTTGATGCCGTCAGAAGAACAGAGGCGCTTGAAATAGAGAAATTCTGGTCATTTTTCAACTACGAGGCAAAAGCTCTTCCTGCCTTGGAATTCCCGCGAGAGTCCATAGCTCCGGGAACATATCTGGCGGTACTGCGAGGTTTGTACTTCATCTGTCTTCGGCTTCTGGCTCCGTTTCTGGCGGTCCTAACCAAAACGTAGAACCAGAATCGAGAGAGCGAGCCTTCCACTCTGGCGCTCTTGAATTCGCTCTTTCCAGAGCATATCTTTCCGATGAGCTCATTTCTTGGATCTTCCATTCGGGTCAGTATTTATTTGTGGTGGAGTAGTCCGCATTGCTCACTTCATTCAAGTGCCTTGCGAGCCTCGGGAAAGCCTGAGGCATGCGTATTGCAGGCTTCTAAAGGTGTGTAGGCCATCCGTTCATTTTTGCGATCATGTATGACTTACTAGATGACTTGTTAGCATGCTGCCGCTGAACGCGTAAAATCCCTGTTTCGACCAGACGATATCAATAGGCTCTTTCAGCGACTGGGCGCCAGCCCCAAAGCGCTGGATATTTCTGAACTGGTTATCCCAGAACCAGCACCCCAGAGTGAGATTCTCGGTGATTGTCTCCTATTGCTTAAAGTCTAACAACTCGCAGACAGTCAGTCGCGAGAAACACCTCAGCATCTGGCGTGCTTGCTGTCTGTCTTGGAATTACTTCGCGGTGCCGCAGAACTGTACGTTGAGTTTAGCTTGCTGCAACGGTCACGCTTACACTGCAATAGATTTGCCGACGATACCAGGGAACATCTACTGAATATTCTCTTTCGTCTCGCGCTCGACATTTCCGTTACAAGCAACGCTATCGTTTGCTCAGACTTAGAGAAGACTATTACGGCAGTTATGGAGAGCGTCCCCGAGGACACGGCTGATAGCTTGGTGAGATTCATAGCGCTTTGGGGCGTAGCAGCACCCACTAACTGAACTTCAAGTTGCACCGTGTCTGCATAACTGCCTACAACACGTTCAGAGACTCCGTATTGCAGAGTCGCCTTCTGAAGCACATCTTACCTACCTCAAGTCGAATCGCAGCGCTGAGGTGCCGTCTCGCACTGGCCTTCTTAACGAGCGACCCAGCGCGACTGACTGAGGCTCCTGACGTGATGAGCGATCTGAAGATGATTATCAACCTTCTGAAGGATCGGCGATTTAACATTAACCTATATAAAGGAAAAGGCAATCCTGAGTATGACTACGGAGAACTCAGTGCAGTGACAGCACTCCTCAACATTGCTATTGACTCGGGATGGTCTGGACTGACATTTCCAACAAGAGAGGCCGAGAAAGAGTTTAATGCCGATATTGACAGGCTTGCTGATCGGGTCAAGAAGATCTTCGTGTCGATTCAAGACTCAGGCGCGTCTCATCTCAAACGGACTTTGGCGAAGGAGGCCCTCGAAACTTTGCACTACCGCATTATCTATTCTGTGAGGTCGAAACCGCCTCCGAAGAAAACGTTGTTTGGCCATTTCGGGGCTGAAGATGGACGCGCCAAAATTAATATGAAGCAATGGGTAGGACCGAGGAGTGGGGAAGACAAGAAAGATACCCAGATGCCTATTCGAAGTCATGAACATCCTTCTTGATCTTTCAACCCTATCTCGAGACGACCAATCCCTCATTCCAGACCCTAGTCGATCACCGATCTCCCTCATTCCTGTTCTCGGTCGTGATGAGCTCCATCACAAGCCTTATCGGGTTCGAAAGGCTGTTTTCGAGGTCGCACAAAACCATGCTGATGGGAAGACTACAGACCATTGCAACAGCTGCTGATATGGGCCCGATGGAAAGCAGAGTGGCGATACCGTGCAAATTGCACCCGGTGTCCCTACTGAGCTGTGGGGAAGAATAGGGCTTTCAAGAACCTAGAATAACGACGTGATGATCTTTATGCAGCCTGGCTTTGCCATTGCACTTGTATCTATTGTATAAAGAGCAGTATATATCATCGCCCATCCCTGCTGGGATAAAACAAGGGAAATAGAAGAAAGAGATTGTATACAAAGCTATGCTGATTCCGAATAACAAAGTTCAAGAAAAGGTGAAGGATGGACCACAGGTTATACGGACAGAAACAGTGGGAAATAAAACGACAACAGTGCAGCACTTGCGAGCAAGAGAACCTCACCCTTCCTAATCATAAAACTTCCGGTTTGCGTTCTTTCCAAATAGTGTCTCTCTGACGGCAGGCAGAGCGTCAATCTCGAGCAAACGCAGGCGCTCCTCGAAGGTGTTGTTGATCTCAATCTTGCCCTGACCGCCAATAATGTATACACCGCCAGCGCTAGAAATGACCAGTTAGAATGATAGATAATCACCAGAAGGGAAAGGGCGATAGAACATACGATCCTTCGGGCAACGGATCGGCCTCGTCCAACTCTGCCGTCGCTTCCTTGCCAACAGTGCTCTTGAACTCCTTCAACGCCTCTTCAATTGCCTTCTTGACCGCGCTGAAATCCTTCTTCCTTGCCCGAACGGATACCTTGTCCTCATTCAAAGCGTACAGGCCCTCGAGGATCAGCCCTTTGAGCACGTTCTGGTATTTCTTGGCATCCTTGGACGCAACGTTAGAGATCTTCTCGCGGGCTTGCTGGAATAGGTCGTTGAGGAGCTCCTGGCGAGCGGAAAGGACACGGAGACGAGTACGATTGGCGAGAGTGGAGCGGGTGATCTGTTGGGACATGGCAGCCTGCTTGAACTTCTTCTCGTAGAGGGAGTCGATGGCGGCGGTCTCCTGGCGGACAAGCTTCGACTTCTCGATTGCGAATTCTTCGTCGGCCTTGAGTTGGATTTCACGGGCCTTCTCCAGCGCTTCTTGCCGGATAAAGGCCGTCATCTTGCGGAGCTCGCCCGCAACCTGTTCGTAGACTGGATGAGCTCGGTGAACCTGCATCCATGATCGGTGCCATAGCATACCTGGTCATCGGAGAGAGCATGGCTTTGCGACATTTTGAAACCCTTTTGTGTCAAGGTTCTGGTATTAAGGACAAAGGAGGTTGAAGTGTCGGAAAGTCCAATGGTGGGGAGTTGAGCTTTCTGATGCGGAGTGCTTGCTGGATAGGCGACCAAGGAGCTAAGGTCAGCAATGCTACTGATAGGGTCCCACAATGAACAAGCTGCATGCAGATTGGGATCAGACTAGACAAGAGATCACGCTTACCTTTCGGAAATGTTATGAAACGTCGGGAAGGGGAGATGTGACGCGATATCGATACTACTGCAGAAGGGCAGGTGGACGGAGAGGGTGTTGGCACTGGCACGAAGCGGATCTGCTGACGATCGGGTCACTTGTCTTTGTCTTCCCGCCGCATGAGGTCAGAACCTCGTCTCAGACCCAGTGTTGGCTCAATATTAATTTAAGTGTTCTCAGTTCCTGCGTCCGCTCAGATTTGGATATTATTCAATTATCATGGCGCCTTTATTTGGATAACTACTGAAAGCTCCTCTCATGCCCTGTTGTTCTCCTTCATCCCCCGCTTGGCGACCAATGCATCAGGATACCCGACCATGGGAAATCTTGGTGACCTGTCGCCCCAGGGTAGTGTCGCGGTATGATTCAAACTACCTACTCCCCATCGAAATATCGCTCAATTCTTCTACTGACACCGGGATGCAAACAGGTCGGGGTAATAGTCGGCTTGATTTCGACCAGTCTCCAAGCCATCGGGTTGACACTACAACGCAAATCGCATATACTCGAGGACGAGAAACATCCCTATGACCTACGAAGACCACCATATAAGCGTCGAAGATGGCAGGTGCGCACATGGACTTTCTCTGGACGCTCGAATGACGGAAGATCTGATCCCCTTTTAGCTAGGAATGCTAATGTTCGTTGTTTCGAACATTGTGGGGAGTACCATCCAAATCACTACGCTTCCGCTTCCAGTGCTCTCAACTCTCCAAGCGGTTAGTGTCCTCTTTTCTTCTGTAGCAGACGGTAGAGATTTGCTAAGCCAAGCGATAGTCGGGCCTGGTTTTCAACACGATCTTCGCCACTTTAGTCCTCGGTGAAGCGTTCACCAGGTATTCCTTTATCGGTACGATCCTGGTCTGCATTGGTGCAGTCTTGATAGCTGTATTTGGCGCTATAGGGGAGCCGGCGCATAGTCTGGATCAGTTGCTGGAGCTCCTTCAGCGACGCAATTTCGTACTCTGGATGGTGGGGACAGCCGTCATTGTGCTGGTCATTCTGCTCGTCTCAAAATCGCTCAAGCTTCTCGCCTCTCCGCACCGCTCAAGGCATACAAGTATTCGGCATACCTGTACTCCGCATATACCAATGTCCCCGAGCCGTGTAAGGCTGATTCGTGGTCTATGCTATGGTCTGATCAGTGGCATTTTGTCGGCTCACTCCTTACTTTTAGCGAAGTCAGCTGTCGAGCTTCTTGTCCGAACGATTGTGGATCGTGTGAATCAGTTTAATCGATGGCAGTCATGGGTGATTCTCCTCGCAATGATCTCCCTTGCACTGACGCAATTATACTTCTTACACCGTGGCTTGAAGTTGTGCAGCACGAGCATTCTGTATCCTTTCGTGTTCTGCATCTATAACGTCATCGCTATCCTGGATGGTTTGATCTACTTCCGCCAACTGTCCCAGCTGGCGGGTTTCCACGCTGGCCTGATTGCTCTCGGAACGGTCGTTCTGCTAAGTGGAGTGCTTTGTCTCTCGTGGCGATTGGACGTTATCGACAGCCATGCGTCTGTGACCGTTGTTGGCCCTTCTCAAACCGGATTGGGTCCCGGTATGGCTGTTCTTGAGGAGAACCCGCATTCTCCTCGTGAAGTTGGCGGGGAGGACGAAGAACCGCACATCGGAGAGCGACAGCCTCTCTTGCAGGCATCCCACCCGCCGCACGGATCCCCTCATCGACGGACACCCAGTTTACCTTTGGTTTCATCGATTCCTCAACAAACTCCCTCTGCTGACATTGACCCGGCCTCCATCTGGGCTGAGCTGGATGACTCGGACTATGAATACACCGGTACGGGTCCCCTCTGGCAACCCCGTCCTCGAAGCAGCACCCTGAGGGAGAGTGTACTCCGTGGCCCTCGGCACTCAACAATTGGCGCAGCCGGCCAATACGCCTCGACAAATCGTAGACACGCTCGCTCAGTCTACGAAGGACACCACCAGCGAAGAACTTCAATCCCGGGGCCCGACAATCGACAATCTCTCCAAAAACGAAGCACCTATTTTGGCCCTTTCCCAGGTAACCACCCAAGTCGCTCCATCGGCTACGGCACATCGGGTGAGAGCGAGCGCGAACGTGGACATGAAGGATCGAATCACCTCATCTCATCGAGTAGCGGCCGCGAACCGCTCCAGCTCTCCGCCACTCCATCCAGCGACGGCCCCCTTACAGGCTCAAGAAACGCCTTAGCCCAAGCCTGGAGAAATGGCCTACAATATCTCTCGCGGTGGAGAAGACACCGCCCACGCACTGGATCCGACTCACACGATCCTCTACTTGACTCTTCGCATTCCCCTTCAACATGACGGCTGAAAAGCCTATGCTACTATTTCTCGCATGTTGTCTAGAGATTCCGGCCATTTGATCTCATTTCAGCGATTTCTTGGCCATGGCTGTTTTCCTTTTGTACAATACCCCAATATATACTCAGCAGTGCTTTTAGTCTGCTTGTTTAGCTTGATTCATAGGAGGTATCAAGTCGAATTAGTCTGCATTGGCATCATGTGACAATCATACCTATTTGGTAACAAAGCTGTCACTCTTTGAGCTTGGCTTCATCATCCATGTGGGTATAGTACCCACAGTAATAGCTGTATGAGGATCTACAGGATCAATGACAACCTATCGTCCACAGGGCAGGTGCTAATGATCAGAGCATAATGTAATGCACTTAAGAACTCTAGTGATTATACTTGGGCTGGGTAATTGAATTTGGAACGAGCATATTAATGAACATCGCAGACAGAGAGAAAGGCTTAGCTCCATTTTCTCCGTACCATACATGTCGTACTTCCTACCCGATGAAAACCATCCATCCATATCATATCATTTACTCAGTCAGATAAAGTCAGTTCCGCGCCTTTCTCCAAAAACCCCTCTCTACTTTTGGATCAAATTTGACCATGACCCGAAGTGAGTAGTCCAGCGACATTGGGACGAGGATGCGAAGGAAAAGCGCAGGACGCAGAGGGGGAAATCAAACGAAACGCAATAGAGAATTGATCAAAGCACACCAGAAGATTATAGCAGATGAAAGAAAATGAATAAATGAGTCCCCTTCGCCAACGGAAAATCAGAGATAAAGAATGGGAAAAAGCACCAGGAACACCGCCACCTCCACCGTCGTCTAGGAGATGATTAGGAGATGATGAACGGGAAAGGAGAGTAATTGTTCTGGAGCGAGAGTGTGCACTCGTATCCACTATAGTGCGAGATGAACTTTTTTTTTTCTTTCTTTTTCAATTCTCTCGGGTTGGATGTCGATATAGTGGTTTGTTACTCGCCGTCACAGGGGAGACCACATACGACAGATCTCGAAGAATCAACTCTTGCGCATCAAGAATCGACGGGTATCAAATAGGGCAGGGCAGAGCGGGGTTACAGATGCTGCAGGCAACAATGAAGGCAAAATACGGACCATCGGGCCGCCCTCAGATCATGCTAGGTATGCAAATAAGGACCCCATCTACGCAGTGGGTTGATGCTGAGGGGGCATTCGATTGCCCACAGGCATGCCGGGGTACTGCCCACCAGCCTGTTGTTGCTGCTGCAAGCCCTGATAATAGGCCATCTGCTGCTGCTGTTCGTTCGTCATGTAACCTGGGTGCATGCCCGCAGGACGGGGAATATTCGACTGCTGAGGGTTGACGTTGGCGTGGTTAACATCCTCAGGTGTCTCTGCTGGCACCTCCGGAGCTTCAACGCCATTTTCGTTGGTGGCGGGATCGGGAGCGTTGAGGCAAGCCTGATGCGGAATTGGTTAGTTATGCTGGTCCCAGACCGAAAGTGCTCTGACAACTAACCTGGATGAGATTCTTGCCCTCGGCCTTCGTCACCAGTGGTTGAAGCTTGGGAGTGGTGAAAGTGTAGACGAGACCGGTCTCGGACACGACAAGCAACAATACTTGAGTACCTGTGAGGACGGAGAGCTCATAGGCCTGTTTTGCGATCGCATTGAACCGTCAGCAACTGTCCAATGTAGCTGATTATACGATAAATGTATTGAACAAGGGACTCAAATCGTAGAACAATCAAGTTTAAACAAGAAAACAGGCGGATAGAAAACGTGAGAGACTCGAGAGACAGGCGATAACCGCGGGCAGGGAGACGCCAAAGTACGCACCTTCTTCATGATACCCGCCTTCCGCTTGGAGAAGGTGATGTGGCGACGCGACTTATCTTGAATGAACTTGATCTCAATCTTTCTGCGCTCGCGACCGGGCTTGTCATCATCATCGTCATCGTCTTCTGCGCTCATTCTCGAGCGCTTGGGACCGCGGTTGTCAGCGGCGCCATTGCCGGCGGCCTGCTGCAGGTCGTCCTGGGTAGGAGAAGGGTTCTCCTCACCGACGGCGGTGATGTCGGCCATGATGGATCAAAAGTAGGTGATAAAAAGGTACGAAAAAGGATTAATCGAGTTGAGAAGCAAGTAATGGTAGAACCCTGGGGGTTGTGAACACGAATGCCCAAAGAGGAATGATGCTTTTGAGGGGGGGGAGGATGACCAAATCGAGTAACGCGTTTGCTTCGCAGGGTTTGGGTTCAGGACGAGAAGGAAAGAAAATCGGGAGGAGAGTCGAAGAAGGCAAAGTGCCGGTTGGGACAGGCAGGCGGTCAGTCACGTGAAAAGGTGGGTCGGGCAGTATCCACGAGTCAATACAGTACCGTTACACCGGAATCCTTAGGTACCTCGGCCGGCTGTATCAGCGTGTAGGCCTGACTAGGAGCCTCCTGAGTAGTCAATCACAGTTTCTAGCAGGAGGACGAATGATACATCTGTGTACGGAGTACGCCGTGTTCAAGTTTTTAAACTCAGTAATAAGAGTAACTCCAATGAATTTATGGCTGAGAGCGAAGCATTCATGAGCGGATCCTTACAATAATACTCGGTGCAAACGTAACGAGCTAATTGATTATACTTTGTCCAGACCCAGCGGTGGAAAAAGATGGACTTGGCAGAGCTGGTGATTGGACGATCCTTAGAAGATTCGATTTGGAGGCCAACTCACAGTTCGCGCTGTATCGTAATATTACCAGTAGCGACTGTCAGGTCGTCTTCACGAGAGTGCCTTGTCGCTGCAGGATTCGGATTCGACTCGATAATGGAACATCCAATTCCCTGACTACTCTCGGCTATATTATCTTAATTTTCATTATGGAGGCTACTACAGAGTGCCTAGAGACTAGTGAAGAAGTGTCTGACCAGTGTGTCTTTCATCGTCACGATCATAAGCACAAAACCTTGGAGCACCACCAAGTCGGCTGCATTCCATCCCTCGAGTAAGCCAAACTTTGGCCCCCATTCGCCCTTTATCATACACAGCAGCCTGTCTCCTCTGCATTTACAGATAAAACCTCAGTAGCCCAGTACATTCGACGATCAACGCACCACAACTGACAAGATAGTCTCACTATTAGCAATAGTTCATGTAATAATCCAGCCATAGAGATCACCTTACGCCGAATCCAATAGTGCACGCTGTATCATACGATCATGCATCTACCTTATGCATCGTGCAATATAAGTACCTCGATTACGGTTATTACAGTACCTTAGGTAGTGTTGATTAGGCTCTAAGATAGCACGAGGATTGGCTGTTGGAGCTCAGCGGTAACAACTCCAGCCGGTTCCTCGTGCGTCCTGCTTTAGGCTCTCGATACAGAGCACTTGGAAGATGGATTGCTGATACGAGTTATGTATCAGATAGCAGTGACTAACCGACCATTCCACCTAAGTTACAGGGTCGCCCGGGCTCCTTACGTTGAGCTGGCAGGGTCGCCCGGTAGGGCGACCCTGAAACTTAGGTGGAAGGGTCGGTTACTGCGAAAGTATGAAGCAATCCTCTGAATACTGCGAGTAAGTTGTATTGAGAGGTAATGCAATGAAGATAGATCTATGTTCCTATGGACAGACGGTGTGGCAATAGCCAAATCTAATCTAACACTCAAGTCATGATATTCCTGCATAATGACAAATGTTCAACGCTAATCTCCAGAAGCAGCGACACCAGCTCAGCCTGAAATTCTATTTTTACAAGACACATATAAAGGAGAAAGTCTCTCGAGGAGCCGGGTGGGAGAAAGACTCGACCGGGACACAATGTCACATCAAGGGTGAAAGTCCCCCAGAACAGGCAGATGGAAAGCCAGAACCAGTCAAGGACCTCGAACGGAAAATGCTCTTCGCTGAAAACCACTTGATTCCGATCTTGAGTGCGCCATTCTTGGCTGCGTCAACAACACAACGCTGGATCAATCAACAATGGAAGGATAGGACGTGGAAAGTCGGCATTCGGGCAAGAACCCATTCTGGCACCATCATTTCGAATTTCTTTTCTGTTTCTGTTGTGGGTTTTCCGTCCTGTGGCCAAACATGGTTCCCAAAGGAGGATATAAGCAAAGGAAAGAAAGAAACAAGGCAAAGTGGGAAAAAGACATGTGCAAGAATGGAAATGAAAATCTTCACAAAGCCCGAGGACCAGCCTCAGTATTAGTTGAGAGGTTCGTTCGATCAGTGTGGATGTTTTAATGCTGCTTTCTCACAGCGTAATCATGTACACCAGCACCACCGCCTCCCTTAGGTCCGAGCCAGACAATCTCAATGACACTGTGGCCCTCATCCTCTTCGCGCACATACCATTGGTGCACGTTGTCACCAACGACATAAGCTTCCCTCAACAACCAGCGGTCTTTGGTGACACCCGCTTGATCCTTGAGACGGAGAGGACCCAAGCGACCCTCATAACCACGGGGGTCTTCCTCCCAAGTCTTCTCAGTGTGGTCGAAGTTGATCGCATCATCGGGGGTATTTTCATCATAAGTGTACTTGACGAGAGAATAGCCGTTGGTCATGACCCAGAACGTGCGAACGGACTTGCCAGTGGAGTTGTTGACATATTCCTCCTGGTCGAAAACCCAGCGCCGAAGGACTGATTTACGACCTGCAGCGGCAGCAACTGTGGTCATCTTCACCACGTCCTTGGTATACCAGCTGTTCCAGTGGTGCAGAGACTCGATCTTCCGCCCAGACTCGTAAACACCGTCGACTTCACCCTTCATGTCCATCTGGTAGAGCGAAGGCCAAAGAGTAAGAGGAGTTTCACCGTATTTCTGAATGCACTGTCCGAGTTTCTGATCTCCGGGCTGCTCACCCCATGACTGGCACTCGTCGTAGTATTGCTCGAGGACAT